TTTTTTAGTAGAGACGGGGTTTCACCTTGTTAGCCAGGATGGTCTCGATCTCCTGACCTCGTGATACGCCCGTCTCGGCCTCCCAAAGTGCTGGGATTACAGGCTTGAGCCACCGCGCCCAGCCTTAATATAATTTTTAAACTACTATATGAAATATTTAGGCTGATTGTTCTCTGTGTATCATTGGAGCCCAAATATGCATGAATAGTCTGGTACTTGAAACAGCTTTCACTATTGGGAAGCCCTTTTCCTTGACCAATTCTGAGATGTATCTTATAACAATTAGTGCAATAATTGGCATTCTGTAAGAACAGATGACAGCTCTTAAAAATAAACAGGCTGCTGCTCTTAATGATTAGTAATACCTTAAATGTTTTCAATCAAAGATTTAAATAAGGAAAAATTGATCTGATTTTAACAAATTCCCAAGTTCTGTTTTGGCCTGTTAGTGGGGATCACCCCTTTCCCTCCATTTCTGGCCTTCATTAGGTAGAATGATTCTTTAGATATTTAACTCACTTCCCTTGTTGTACTTTGAAGTTACTCTTAAGTGGATAATACCAAAAGCGAATCCACAAATAGAAGGTACCCAATGCAGTAGTGGTATAAAAATAATAGAGACTTTTAAGGGTCAAAGAGAGAACAGGCTAAAGCAGGAAGCAGAATATAACCACTTCTCCCATAATTGTCAGTAGGGAAATATAGCTCAGTACTTTTTGAATTGAACAGAGACATAAAAAGAATGTGCTAATAACTATTATTAGATGAAGAGGGGAAATTGATAACAAAGAGTGATAGATCTTTTAACCTCAATATTCACTGGAAAAAAAGATACCTGTTGTGAACCAGAAAAAGCAAACAAGAACATACAGGGGTGGAGGGAGGAAAAGCAAGCCACGGCGGCGACAACTTTTGTGAATAGTTGGTGACAGCCAATCTGCCAGCAGTGTTCAAGTTCTAGCACCCACACCCACCCCTGGAACTGAGGAACAAGATACTTAGGACAGACTGTAGAATGCTTGGAAATATTTCTTGAGGATAAGGAAGTTACCTGTAGGTGGGAAAGGGTCCTGTATCCTGCTAATTTATGTACACCTTAAACAAAACAAAAACAAAAGCAGTCTGCTTATTTTAGAAGTAAAATTCATTTACACTCATCCTAAACATTCATGGTGTATTAACCCACCAATAACTCATGCTCTGTTGAAGGTACTTTGCTAGTGACTGGGAATACTGCAGTGAAACATAACTGACCCTTTGACAGCTCTTGCTGTTTGAGAGGCACTGTCCTAAGCCCCTTTACATAAACAGGTATTAGCTTAGTTGTGCCTCATAGCAACCCTAAGAGGAAGGTATTTCCCCATTTTACAGAGTAGGGTACTGAGGCATTGAAAGCTTAAGTAACTTGCCCAAAGTCAAAGAAAAACATAGTGCATGTCCTTAGAGTGTGACCATTTTCCTACACTCTTTTAGATTCTTGGAAATATTTTCTTTATAAATAATTCCTAGGGAGACGTTCATCTTTTTCAGTCAACATTCATCCAATAAATATTTATTATATATTGACTATGTGTGGAACCCTGGCCTACATGCTTAGGGTACCTGAGAGAATCTGACACAGTTCTTACTATTTAATAGAAGGAGTGAAAGCATCAATGGATAAGTTCAAAGATGTGTTGTAAGTGTCAGAAGTGGATGGGGATTTCAGTGTGGACACAGAGGGAGCAGTGTGGCCTCCTGAGCCAGGGAAAGGTGTTCAGGAAAGACTTTCCAGAGGGGTGGCATGTGCATTCCAGGCAGAGCGAGCAGTCCTGGCAAATGCTGAGAAGTGGTGTGTGTCTGAAACTCAGGTGGCTCTGTGTGATCAGAGCAGAACTTCTTGACCCTCCATGTGGTGCCATGTGCAGAATATGCAAATGTGGATTTGTAGCACACTGAGGGGAGCTGCCTGCTGTGCATGGCCAGAGGCGATGGGCAAGGATCCCTGCTGCTGCCCAGCTGCCTGGGTTAACAGTGTCCATGCCTTAGTGCGCCTATAGCCCATTCAAATTCAGATCACAGGGTGTGAGCAATTAAAGTAGGAGAGGCAGGCAAGGGCCATATTATGCAGGAAGTTATATACTATGCTAAGGAATTGGATTTTATTTTGCAGGTAATGCCACACTATTGAGACTTTTTGGCTAGGAGATGGTATGATCGTCTGTGCTCTTTGGAAAAATTATTTTTGTACAGTGTGAAAAAGAAATGGGAGGGTGGTAAGATCAACGTTATTGGCCAGTTAGGGATCTTGCTGCAATCCAAGTGAAAAATGATGAAGGCGTGTTGTAAATATAGATGAAGAGAATGTGAGTAGAACCTGGTTACTAAGTAGTTATGAGGCATAAAAGAAAAGGGGAACCCAGGATGGATTCCCTGATTTTGTGCTTGCATGATGGGCAGTGCCATTCACCAATTCTGTGCATGAAAGAGGAGGAACAGGTTTGCATCGATATGACTTTTGTGTCTTAGATTGATATAAGCTGCCTGTGTGATAGCCAAACAGAGGCATCCGTTTAGCAGTTGGCTCTTTGGGGCTGGAACTGAGCAGTGAGGTCTGGGAAAGAGACTTGAATGCATGAGTCACTGGTATCCGAGTGGCGGTAGAAACCAATGAGCAATTGAAATTGCCCAGAGGAAAGGGTAGAGTGTGGAGAGGAGACTGACAGAACCTTGGGAGGATGGAGAAGAGAGAACTTCAAATGATACCAAAAGAAAAAAGAAAAACAAGAAGAAAGAGAGGGAAACTAAAGAACAAAGGAGTCAGTGCTGCAGATGTCAGGGAGGTTAAGTGGGATGACTGACCAAACCTGGATTGGACTTTTAGCCAGAGTGGTTTCAGAAGAGTTGAAGAGTGAGCAGAAGATGGACAAAAATGATGGTAGGCTGTTTCCCAAGAAATTTGGTTGTAAAGGCGGAAGAAGGGTAGCTAAGAGGGGTACATAAGGTCAAGGTAGGATTTACTCAAACATATTTACAGGTCACTGAAAAGCATCTAGTCTAGAGGGAAGGAAAACTAGTGGACGCATCTCCCATAGTTGTGCAGGGAAGGGGTCTTAGAATAGGTGGAAGGATCCCTCTGCATCTGAGACTGAAGGGAAGGAAAGTAAGATCCAAGTGGGGAAGTTCCTACCTGATAGGAGAGTTTTCTTGGGGAAGTGGTAGGAGGCCAGCTTGTCTGTTGAGGAGGGGTGAGGATGGAAGTAGAGGCAGGAGTGGGGAATGGGAGAATGTATGGAGCCAGAGACATCTTAAACAAAGTAGGGAATGGTGCTGAGGACTCTGTTGAGGACAGAGGCATAAATGAGCAATACCAGTAACTTTCTGTGCAGTTCTCTTAAGCTGCCTTGGCTGGATGATGAGGCAGGGAGGCAGATGATTGGATAAAATCCTTACCTGATAAAAGTTAATGTTAGGAGTTTGTACGAAAGGTACATTAGATAGATAGGGACTAAGAGTGTCGAGGATAATGGCAGGAGTGATGCTTCCAGGGTGTCAGTTGAATGGGGAGGATGGACCAGGAGAAAAGGCAGATGTCTCAATGAGATGAAAGATCTTCTAGGGGAGGGGAGTGGGAAGGGAAATTGTGACCCTGGATTGGTGAATTGGTGGTGAATTTTCTAGAGAAGATAATACCAAGGTCCATGGTGTGGCCATGGGAGAGACTACTGAAGAGTCGTCTGGGACATGGGTCTGGGGGAACTGGATGGATTGCCCATGTGAAGGACACCTAAGAGTTGGCATTGAGACTACAAGTCAGTAGTCTCTTGATGAGTGAGGGGCCATGATTGGAAGGACTGTGGTGACAGCAGCAAGGAGAAGGAGAGCCAGATAGCAGGGATCTTGAAGGAGATGGGCTTCACTTTTGTTCATGTTCTTCTGTGGTCTGGAAGTGGCAAAGGGAGCCAGTGCCCCTCCAAGCCTGAGCTGGGTGCTGTGGGAGAACAAGCAGCCTCTTTTCAAGGGGAGGACTCTGAAAGACTCAACCTGGGGATAGCAGGTCACACATATGTGGTGTTTTGTACAAAGAATTAGGCTGAATCTGGTAAGGTAATTGCATCTGGAAAATTTTCTGTGTATAATGAACACTTTGAAACTCTATCTTCCTAAAATTTCTCCCATTTCATGTAATTTAGGTGTGTTTATCATTTAACCCTCAAAGCACGTTGGTGGCGACTGGAAGTATGGACACAACAGTCAAATTGTGGAACATTCAGAATGGCGAGGAAGTTTGCACCTTAAGAGTATGTCAATAATGTTAATGAGCCTGTTATTTGTGTGAATTCTTATTTGTGTTTTTGTTACAAAATGAGCTCTAAGTTGGATGTTGTTGAGTTGCTGGTTTTCAGACTGTAGTGGTGAAAGAGTATTCCTACCGGTTTCCGGCTATTCCAAAAGACCTGGGTGGAGGTGCTGGGGAAGTCCAAGGAGCTTTTTATTTTGACTAACTTTAGTCTGCAAAACACATCAACTATAGCTTAGAACCCATCACCATCTCTCTGGCTAAAAGGAAAGCAGGTGGAGGCTGGCACTTTTGCAAGAGGCAGAACTGGAGAACCATGCCAAGAGAATCTTTAAAGTGATGGCTGTGAGCACACTCTCCTCTGCCCCCTGCTCTTTGAACCATCCTTATCACAAAGTCTGAAATGAGAGAGGGGCAAGTGACCAGAGGGAGAAGGTCAAAGGGCTCTGCCCACAGAGTGAGTGCTGGTGGGGTGTGCTCTTGTGTGTCACCACCATGCGCCCAGCACCTCCCGGTGACCTGCTACCCTCCCGCCCTCCCCTTCCTCCCACCCCAGCCCAAGTCACCGCAACAAAAATAGGGTGACCCTACGTTGTAATCAGTGGGAACAGCTGGATGGGAAATTCAGTTTCCTTGTCCTTTCAAAACTATAAATACATTTTTAAAAACATGATTCGTTTCCTCAGAAAGCTTTTTCTGAGAAAGTTGAAACATGGACCGAGAAAGAAAAAATTCTCCATTTAAAAATAACAGTAATGGCTTTTCTTTCTTAAATCTGAGCATCTAGCATTATTAGTATAAGTATACTCTTTCTGTTCTCAGTTCTTTTTTTTTTTTTTTTTTCTCAGTTCTTTTTTTTTTTTTTTTTTTAAACAACAACAACAACAACATTACTATCTCTTCTTTCAGGCAAATGTGCAGGGAAAGGCCCCATTAATGCTGCACTTTCAACTAAAATGACTCCTTTTACAGACTGCCTAAGAGCACTCGAAGGGAGGGGTCCTGCTCGGCACACCTGTCTGTGCCGGAGAGTGCATTTGTTTTGCGTATTTAGAATTCTAATATTCAACTACATGCATTTTTGTCCTTTGAAATCTATCAGAAATATCCAGTTATAAATCAACTTTTCCATTTCTTTGGATTATTTAAAAATATAATTATGTGAATTTACTAAAATAGTGGAGGAATCAAGGGCTATACGTACTCCACCCAGGATCCCCTTATCAGAGTTCCAGAATCTGCTGTAGACAGGGGTTTCTTCCCATTGTCTCACAGTTTGATTCACTGACACTAGACAGTAACAAGCTGAACGTCAGGCCAAAGGCAGGAATTTATCAATCGATTTCATGTCAAGTTATCCTAATAATTGCCTTTTTAAAAGTAGTTTTATTCCATACACTGTTTACTTTTGCACACCATGCGTTATTAGCCCATGTAGTCCCCAGCTCTGTAGTGTTTCCGAGACAATGTAAAGGAGGCCCTCTAGTTTCCCCAAACACAACCTCTTTCTTTTGTTTTTAATCAACATTATTAGGTTAAATGAACTAGTTGTGTGTAAGTCACTAATTTTATTAAACTCACAGGATTGTGTAGCTAAAACCTAGTTTTCAAACCTTTCCATCACCCCAAAAAGAACTCTGTGCCCACGTGCAGACACTCCCCATCCTCACCCCAGCCAACTGCTGACCTCCCTTCCTAGAGCTCGGCCTTCTCCAGCATTTCCTTTTAGACTATGATATTGTACACTTGCAGAAATTGTTTTATCTGCCGGTATACTTGACGGTATCTGCTCTTTTTCTAGGGACATTCCGCCGAAATCATCTCGTTGTCATTTAACACCTCAGGAGACAGAATCATCACGGGGTCTTTTGATCATACAGTTGTAGTGTGGGACGCTGATACTGGAAGGTAATTCTTAGTTCTCAAGCATTGTTTTAACCTGGATCAGGGGGTTCAGAAAACCCTCTGTTATTTATTAGCTTAAGCTGCTCTCTATTAACTCTGCTTTGAGTTTCATAAAAATAGTACATATTGAAAATGTAAATTAATTCATTCTTTAATGATATTTCTGATTCACAAAATATGTGCATTCTTGGAATTCTGAGCAAATAATGACAAACAGCAACATAAAAGAAGAATGTTAGCAATAGTCTGGTTACATAGCTACTATTTATTCCAGGGATAATCAAATTTCAATGGCTTGTCATTATGTTAGGCATGAATATCATGTATAAATAAAACTCTTAGTTAATTTCCCAAATTTAATTTAGTCCAAGAACTTCAACTTCCTTCCTAATGATTTTTGGTCCTAGTTGCTAGGAAGTTAACTAAATTAGCATATTTGTGTTGGAAAACTACTCTTGGATTTGTCTGTGATTTAATAGAGGGGCTAATTATCAGGGGTGCCGACCAAGATGTATGCAACAAGAAATGACAGAGAAAGAAGGACCTTTCAGTTACTTGACATGTGGTTTCTGAACAACCAGGGTGCACTCGTCTGGTGTAAGAATACTTCTTACGGCTTTTACTATTTGTTACCCATTTCTTTTTGAAATGTTGCCTTAAGTAGCATTATTTTGATAGTTTAAAATCCAAGTACATTTTTGTTGAAATGATATTATTTATTTATTTATTTATTTGAGACGGAGTCTTGCTCTGTCACCCAGGCTGCAGTGCGGTGGCGCAATCTCGGCTCACTGCAAGCTCTGCCTCCCGGGTTCACGCCATTCTCCTGCCTCAGCCTCCCGAGTAGCTGGGACTGCAGGCGCCCACCGCCATGCCCGGAGAATTAGTATTTTTAGTAGAGGTGGGGTTTCACCGTGTTAGCAAGGATGGTCTCGAACTCCTGATCTTGTGGATCCACAGCCTCGACCTCCCAAAGTGCTGGGATTACAGGCGTGAGCCACTGCGCCCGGCCGAAATGAAATTATTAGTAGTTTCTTTTTGAGCACTAGTAAAGCTGTATTTGTTTTGTCATCAAATATATTATTTTATAAAAACCAAAATTTAGATTAGCTTACACAGATGGGCTTGGCCTCGTTATTCATGTGCATATACTGAAGTAAGATATCTTTCACTAATTTTAATTATTTTTGTGTTGTAGGAAGGTAAATATCTTAATTGGTCATTGTGCTGAGATTAGCAGTGCCTTATTCAACTGGGATTGCTCTCTAATATTAACTGGCTCTATGGACAAAACCTGCATGGTGAGCTAAATAAATAAATATCTGTGCTTTATATTGTGTCTATACTCTTTACTGTGTCAGATACCCATTGTAACATTAACAAATTTCAAAGGTGATATAAAATTAAGATATTAATTTACAAATAATAATTGGTAATTTTTTAAATTTCAAGTTTTGGATTTTCTAAATTTGAAGGAATTGTGATGTAGTAAAGCAATTTGAATTTCTTCAAGTATATTAAATATCTTATTTGAGAAGGCATTTTATTTTTATTTAATATCCCACTTTTCATTTATAGAACTTCAATTAGTAGAGTGACCGTCAAGGAGCCTCAAACACAATGTTTCCTTGTCCCTAAGTTTCTATACTTAAAAAATGGTTACTAAGAGATTATACTATGGAATTATCATTTGTTTATGTAACAAATATATTACAATTTTATAATGTACTTTTCATTTTCTGACATTGTCGTTTTATATGAAGCTCCTAATCATTTGATGTCCTTCCTACAAAAAGAGCAAAACTCTTCCCCAACCAGTAAAGCATACACGTTGAGATATTTTTTCTTTCTTTAATGTAGTGGCAGATTCTAAATGTCTGACTTTGGTTTTCTCTGTGATTAGGGTGTGCCTTCCTTGATGGTTGGCTGTGGTCTCTGGTCATGAATCAAAGTAAATCTAACTGAACATGCGAGAATTACACAAGTAGTTTTTGCACAGTTACTTAACCAGCCCTAAGCATGTCATGAAGATCACTGGCCATCTTCACACTTGAGACAGAAAGTCATAGTCTTTTTTTTGTTTTTTGTTTCTTTTAATTGTAGCTGTGGGATGCTACAAATGGCAAATGTGTGGCAACCTTAACAGGCCATGACGATGAAATACTAGACAGCTGCTTTGATTATACTGGAAAGCTTATTGCAACTGCTTCAGCCGATGGTAGGTGATCTGTTCATCCTTTTAATTTTTGGAGAGATTTATGCTTTGCTTGATGACCATGCATGATTCTACACTATGGGTCATTTCTCTGATGACCAGCTATGATTAAAAACCATGTCTCATCTCTGTGGTGACCATGTATGGCACAATAGTATGTCTATATCATATAGCTGATAACCACATGTAATGTTATACAATGTCTGTGTCACCTGCTAGATAACCAGGTATGTGAGGTCTTTGTCATCTTCTTAATACCTGTATATGATGCTATATTCTGAGTCATCTCCATGATTATTAGTATTATTATTATTTTGAGATGGAGTCTCACTCTATTGCCCAGGATGGAGTGCAGTGGCGTGATCTCAGCTTAATGCAACCTCCGCCTCCCAGGTTCGAGCAATTTTCCTGCCTCAGCCTCCCGAGTAGCTGGGAATACAGGCATGTATCATCATGCCTGGCTAATTTTTGTATTTTTAGTAGAGACGGGGTTTCTCCATGTTGGCCACACTGGTCTCGAACTCCTGACCTCAGGTGATCCACCTGCCTTGCCCTCCCAAAGTGCTGGGATTACAGGCACAAGCCACCGCACCCAGCTTCCCTGATTATTATGTAGGATGTTACCCTATGTTGGCCTTGTCAACTTAATTGCCATCAGTGGTGCTATAATCTCCCTTATAGCCACATGTGCTGTTCCAGTATGTCTACCACATTTTTGTGATAAGCATACATGATGCTATGCTATACATTGTCTCTTTGATTACCACCGTGATTCTACACTATGAGTCATCTTATTGATAACCATATATGGTGCTATCCTAGGTGTGCTTCAATCCTGTGACAGTCACATGTGATACTACACTATATCTGTCATCTCCCTGTGGCTCACATGTGACATGATATTGTGTCTGTCTTATCACCCGAGGATCATGTTTATTTCTACGCTGTATCTGCATCATCTTGTTGAAAGTTGAATATTATGCTATACCGTGTTTTCATCTACTCCTTTAAAACCACATTTGATGCTGGGCCATATCTACATCATATCCTTGATAATCATATATGATGCAAAACCTTGAGTCATCTTGCTGACAAATATGTATGATACTAACTCTGTGTCCACATCATGTCATTGAAGCCACATGCAATGCTATACGACGTCTTTATTCTCTCAGTGACAACCATCTGTATGGGTGTACTATGCATGCATCATGTCCTGGGTAACATTTTATGATACTAAACAACAAGTCATTCCCATGACAAACATATATGATGCTATATTATGTGTCATCTCTTTGACAACCACATGTGATGATTCATAGTGTCTGCACTATTTCCCTGGCAAGTATTTATGATGCGACTCTATGTCTGCAGCATATTCCTGACAAACATGTGTTAACACTATACAACTTCTACATTATCTCCCTGACAATTTCCTATTTTACACTAAACTGTGTCTACACCATATCCTTGATAACCACATGGTGCTATACTATGTCTCCATCATCCTATGTCTCCTTGGCAAGCATATGTGATGCTATACTAAGTCTATGTTATATCATGGCATCACATACCATGCGTGATGCTATTCTATGAGGCATAGAATATGAAGTATGAACTATGTGCCATCTTCCTGAAGACACAGGTGATGCTAAACTACATCAATACCATCTACCTGATAATCACGTATGAAGCTACACCAAGTCTATGTTATCCATCTGATGACCACATATGTTGCTATATTTTATCTATGTCATGTATCTGACTACTATGTTTTAATTTACACTGTTTGTTATCCTCTTTATAATAATGTATGATAGTATACTATATCTTTATCCTATTCTTTATAACCGTGTATGATACTGTTCCACATCTTAGTATTTCTTAGAAATCCATGTATGATGCTATAGTATTTATACCTCATTGCCCTGGCCAACATGGTCTGCAGGGTCCGCTATATCATCGCCACCTTTAGAAAGGTGGTGATATTTTATGTATATATCCTATTGGTTCTGTTTTGTACATATGTATATATCCTATTGGTTCTGTTTTATACATATATCCTATTGTATTTTATATAGATATCCTGTTGGTTCTGTTTTATCCTATATATAATTATATATATTTTATATATTTATATATTGTATATATTTATATATTTTTATATATTATATATTGTATATTATACTATATTTACTCTATGTATAATTCTGTTTATACTATATATAAATATATAACCAATAGTATATAAATACACACACACACATATAGTATGTAACCAATATTATGTAAGTATACACACACACATATTTATATATGAAGGCTGAGAAATCTTGCGATATGCCATCTGCAAGCTGGAGAATCAGGAAAATCAGTGGTGTAATTCAGTCTAAGTCTGAAAACCTAAAAACTTGGGGAACCAATGGTGTAACTCTTAGTCTGAGGCCAAAAACTTGAGAGAACTGAGGAGGGCATTAGTGTCAGTCTTGGAGTCTGAGGATCTGAGAACCAGGAGCTCTGATGACCGAGGGCCAGAGAAGATGAAGATGGATGTCCCAGCTCCAGAAGAGAGAAGAATTTCATCCTTCCTCCACCTTTTGTTGTATCTAGGTCCTCAATGGATTGGATGATACCTGCCCACATTGGTGAGGGTGGCTCTTCTTTACTCAGTCTAATACCCTCTCAGACACACCCAGAAATAATGTTTTAACAACTACCTGGGTATCCCTTAACACAGTCAAGTTGATGCATAAAATTAACCATCGCAATGCCACACTGTGTCTGAGTATAACTTGTTACCCACATATGACACTATACTATATGTGCATCATCTCCCTGATAACCAAATACATTGTCATGATGTTTCTGAGTTATCCTAAAGCATGCGTTATGCCTACCTTATTCTTTGGTAGTCATATATGATGTTGTACTATGACAATTTCCTTGATGATCATGTATGATGCTATATAATATATGCATCATGGCCAGGTGTGGTGGCTCATGCCTGTAATTTCAATACTTTGGGAGGTCAAGGTGGGAGGATCGCTTGAGGCCAGGAGTTTGAGGCCAGCCTGGGCAACATAGGGAGACCCCATCATTACAAAATATTAAAACAAAATTAGCCAGGTGTGGTGGCGTGCACCTGTAGAACTAACTACTCAGTAAGCTGAGGAAAATAACTTAAGCCTAGGAGTTCAGGGTTACAGTGAACTATGATTATGCCTCTACACTCCAGTCTGAGTGATAGAGCAAGACCCTGTCTCCTTGATGAATATATTCGTTGATGAACACACACACACACATGCACACACACACATACACCCCTCATATTCTAGACAGCCATATGTGGTGTTACATTATTTGAAATATATTGGACAACGATGTGTTATATTATTGCTATATCACCCCTTTAATAACCCCATAAGATGCTATAATATGTTACTTTATACTATTTCTGCATCATATTCGTAATAACCATTTATTACACTAGGCTACAATTAATCTTCTTCATTTCCTTGAAAACAGAAATGTTTTCCTATGTCTGTGTCACCTTGTTGAAAACCACACCTAAGCTATACTGCTGTCATCCCCTACCTGTTAATCATGTAGGATGGTATATTCTGGGTTATCTCCTTGGTGATCATATAAAAGGCTGCCATGTGTCTGCAATGATAAACATGCTAATTGTGGACTGTGCTCTCATATGTTTGCATCTATGTGTCTTAGACAACTATGTATGCTACAATATCACTCCAAATCTCCTTGGCAACCATATGTGATGCCACATTTTGGGTCCTATCACTGATGGTCATGTTTGATGCCCCAAGACATCTGCATCATCTCTGACCGCTATGTGTTGTACAGTATTATTGCTGCGTATAGCATCCTAAATGCTACAAAGGAGTGTGTAACATTTGACAAGCATGTATATTGCTAAACTATTTCTCTGTCATCTCCTTTACAATTGCAATTGTGTATGAGTCTGTACTATATCTGAATCATCTCCTAGATAACAAAGTGACGTGCAATTTTAGGATTCGTCTTTCAGAACCACACATGAGAAGATCATCTTCTTGATGATGATTTGCGACACTGTCCTTTGTTTGGGTCTTGGTATCACCACATATTGTGTTAAAACATGACTGCATGATATCATTCATATCCACATGTGATGTTATAATATGTGTACTTCATTTCCTTAAAAACTATAGATGATATTATACTAAGTTATTGCCTTTGTAACCATGTGTTATACCTCCCTATTTCTGAGTCATCACCTTGATAACCACACGTGACATTATACTGTCCCTTTCATCATGGGTAATGTTTTTGTCCTTGGTAACCACATATGATGCCTGCTGTTTATATGGACCAGCTTCTTTGTGATATTTGTGATGCCATAATATAGGTTATTTCCATGAGGAAAGCCTACAGTGCTACATTTGTGTAAGTCATCTCCTTGATATTCATGTATAATGGTATCCTATGTGCCATTTTAAAATTACCATATGTGATGGTACTCTACATGTACATCATCCCACTGATAACCATGTGATACTGTAAGTGTGTCATCTCCTTGGAACTAGGTATGGTTCTAAAATCAATCTTTGTAGAGTCCTTGTACACCACATATATCTCTGCACTATGCGTATGTCATGCTCTTGATGGCCACTAGTATGCTACAGTGTCTCTGTCATCTCCCTGATCATCATGTATGATATTACAACATGTCTACAGCTTCTGCCAGAAGACAGTCATCCTATCTATCTATCTATCTATCTATCTATCTATCTATCTATCTATCTATCTATCTATCTATCTGTCTATCTGATCTATTGAGAGAGTCATCTCTCTCTGTCTTTCTCTACATTAGGTCTACTCATGTTCCTAAAGGCCTTTATAATGCAACAATATTTCTGTGGCATTTATTTGATAAACACGTAGGACCTCACATCACATCTGTGTCTACCTCATTTACTTTATAACCATGAGTGACACTGTAC